GGCTCCTAACAGGAGGGTAGATCCTCCTCCAGAAAAGAAAGCTCATTAAAGGAAATTCTTGTTAAGCCGACCTTGCGGAAAACCAGCTCTTATTACTTTAATGGAAACACACCGGGCAGCAAAAGTAGTCGATCCAGACTTTCAGACAAGATATCTAGGTCCACAAAGTTTTGTCACAATATAGTATGAACAAAATCCCATCTCTTTCCTCTCACGTAAATCACTCAGCCAAGCTGTCCGGGGAAAGAAATGGAAAATCTCTTTTTCTTCCCCCAACACCTCTTACCCAGGAATTATCCTACATAAACTGAGGCATGGAACAAATTGAAACTGTTAGTGTATTGATTCTGAGTCACTTGCACAATTAAATACCCTTGATCGAGTTCCTAATTTGAAAGCCACACCAGTTTCCAGTCTTCTGCTACAACATTATAGCTTCTGCTGCTCACAATTTTTTCTGCTCAATAATGCAAGCTCTTCCACAACAGAGGAGTATAGTAGGAAGTAACATTTCCTGCCCAGCATGGGGAAGGAGGCATCTTTCACACTGACTACGGAGAACAGTCTGAGCTCTAGCTATAAGGAAGACAAGACAACCTCTTCCAAAGACTCAGCAGCAGAAGACAACAAACCACTTCTTCCTATTCACTTGTTATGTATCTTCATATGTTGCAGTGCTAAAAAATATCCTTCATCCGCAGCTGCAGACATTCTTGCTCCCACAGAGCACTATTGTCCTGGGTGGTAGTGGGGCGGGGGGGATTTTTGTAATCCATTTCAGGAAGGCCTTCACAGAACGCTAATTCAGTTTGTTTCTGCAAAGAAATTACTTCTCTCTTCCTCTTCCAGAGCAGAACAGATTAGAAGATTATTCTGGAACAAGGAATGATTTTTCATTTCTTTTAAGTGCTTTCTTATGCCTCTGTTAGAAACCACATCAAGCACTTCATATGCATTCCATTTTTTCTCCTTTCATTGTTGTTATCCAGGACCTTCATTTGTTTCTCATACACAGTCATATAACTCGTCAAGTGCAAAACATTCAATGCATCCTTGACAATCACAAGCTTTAGTGACCGTTCACTAACAAAGTGACAGGGAGGCCAAAGAGAAGAGCAGTGAGAATGCTACAGGGACAGGATGAGTGGGCTGACACTGGTCTATTAGGAACACGTAAGGTCTCACATGCTTAGCCAGAGTAGGCTGACAGCTAGAGAGCTAGTGTACTTGCAAGATCTGACACAAGGATCTTCACTTGGCATCATATCTGGTGGCACAAGGGATAATCATGGAGAGCCAAAAATGAGAAGGGGGAGGATGAGAGGGGGAGAGAACAGAATGAAAGTTCTACCAACAGATTTAAGACTTTTTATTTAAAAATAGGCCTGTCTTCACATCAGGATAGCTGCTCAGAATCTCTACTAAAATGATTCTTCAAAGCAATGTAGTTAATATTTACTTCAATATAAATAGCCTGAGTTAACCCTCTGTAAGCTCCTGGAATAGACTTTGACTACAGATGTTCACAAGTCAAGCAATCTGGTATCATTTTTTCTTTATACACAAACTAACATTATCTACAGTATTGTTTAAACAAGATAATACATAATTATTGCAATAATTACATGTTGCTCCTTGTAAACAGCGGCATTGCAAACACTGTCCTGTCAACAGCTGCAACTTACCATCTTTAAAGTTGATAATGCATCACAATTAAAAAGTAACACACAGCTGGCCATGATGTTTTTATTACTATCTCAGTGTTACTGCATCTGTGTCCAGAACTGTCTTGCTTCAAATCCAAGTCTTGTAAAAATCCAGGCATATACTTAATTTCATGCATATAATTGGCAGTTTACCAAAATATTTCACCATCTACTTTCAGTTTGTACAAAGGTAATGAGATATGCCCTTCAGTACTTTGCTGAATAAGGCTGTAAGTAATTTCACTGATTCACTGATTCACACACACCTATTCATATGGTTGGATCTCTTGCAGGATCAGTGTTGCAAAGTCCAAATAGTTAGTGAGGGACATTGGGAAGACAAATCAAAACAATCACATGGGAAAAGGATTAGAGTGAGAGGAAGAAAAATGTTTGAAGAACCCTAGGTGTAGTCCTCTCCTTTGCCAGGGAACTCTGTGTATCCAAGTTACTGGTCTTTTCAAGATTTTGAGGACAGGCATTTAGAGTGGTTATTAATACAGTGAGCTCTCACATCCACTTGTCTCCTGGCCATGCAGGGGCCTTGCCAGCATTCTGTAAAGGTGCACCTTGTAGCTCCCTAAGGCTGAAATGAGGTATGCTGCATGCAGCTAAAATGGGAGAAAAAAATAACACCTCCAGCTGCTCATTACCCCTTGAGAATTATCACTTCTTCAGATCTGCACGCATGACAGCTTGTGTAGTTGCTGCCTTAGCTGAGTATGAGTAAACATTATCATAAACATTTTTAATGGGCAGTTTTCTCTAACCCAGGTTATTTTAACTGGGTTAGGAGAAATCATCGTTGTTCTTGGTCTGCAGAGCAGAGAGCACAGGAGGGTAGCCCTCAGCAGCAGTCAGAAAAGCGTGTCCAGTCACAGTTTGAGAAAGTTGTCAGGCTTCAAAGGGCTGCCTCCAGCCACAGTTTGAGGTTGTTTGGAGTGAGCTGGAGGCACAACACAACTCAGACATATCTTCTGTGCCTCAGGTTCTTATCTGTTAAAACTCGCATTTTAGTATTTCTCAGTATTCAGGATTACTCTAAGGACACTAAGAACAATTAAGTGTTCAGGTTTCCAAAAGATAGATGGTTCAGAGGCCATAACACAAATAGCCAAGTCAAATTGCTGTAATGGTTTATCTGGCCAAAAAGATGTCTGATATTCAAAGCATGTTTTTCTTTTCAATATTTAAAAAAGTTGCTTTGTCACAAGAAATGTAAGGGATTCTATTGAACTGGGAGTCAATGTTGAGCCTGTTACCTGTGATAAAATGTGACCGTTAACGGCTGTCCCCCCTTGGCTCTCTCACTTTTCTCCCTCAAGGCTGTCTCCTCTTGGCTCTCTCACTTTTCCCCTTTCTTTCTGATCCCATGTAATCCATTTCTAGGCTTTGCAATCCTGCCTTGCACCCTTCTGTCTTTGGACTTGCAGCTAATTCCTTATCCACTTAAGTTGTCTGTCTCCTTTACTTCTTGGCTTTGGGGATAAGCCTTTTGTGTGTCCCTATATGAAAAGCTTTCTCTTGGTCTAGGTTAATCATATCAATAGCTTCCTTGCTGTGACTCACTTGTTTTTTCCCTCATCAGGACAGGCTATCAGATTTGTAAGGCCTAAGCCTCCTTCTGGGATCCACACAAATGGTCTTTTTATTATAAACTCTGTCCTGCCCAAAAGTAAAGCAATGGGAACCTTCTGCTTCTGAGCAGCGTTATCTGCAGGTTTTCTCTTTTGCCTGCTCCATTTCCTCTGGCATGTACTTATCTTTTGTGTGTCTTATCTGTTGTTACCCGTTCAAAGTTTATTCTTCTCTTACCTTTACAGCTGTGACTGGTTTAATCTGGTAGCTGATTCACAAGAGAGGAACTGGGTAAAAGGTAATTCTTCTCTAAGCAGTTGAAGAAAGTCAAAAGAGAGCAAAAGTACTACCAATTATAAGCAGGAAGGTACCACTGCCCATACAGTGAGTATGGTACCACGCCCACTACAGATGGGAGAGCTTTAAATAAAAAGAAGAAGAGGGGACGTGGCCAACTCATGTTGGCATGTGATGGACAGAGAGTTAATTACAGATACCTACCTACTGCACAAGAAATTTTTATTTGTTCAGCTATTTTTGTCCATATCCCTGCCAGATATCTTTGGAAAGTCAGGCAGCAAGATGTTGCTATGATAACATGCAGCACTCTGAGAAAGATCATAGCACGTCTTCATGTCTCGTTGTAACATGTATGTTAGAACTCCCACAAGCCCACATATAGCCCTGTAATTTGCAGGCTTTACATAGTCAAACATGCTAGAAGGGACCAATGAGAGGAAAGGCTATAAATAAAGCAGTCTGTTTTAAAAGACAAATTACTTTATGATGACATATCCTCAGGGAGGAAAACCAATATTCTATTTATTTGACAACAGTCTAGGTGTCATTAGTTTACATAACATTTTGTGCTGACATTAACATGATCACATTATTGTTCATTTGACTTATCTTAACATACAAGAGACACAATTATAGATAAGGATTTTGTTATGGTAGGTACAACACAAATGCAGGACAAAAAAATCCAGACCCTGTTCTAGAACTAAGGAATAGGTCTGTTATTGCTAGAGGATCAAGGAGAGCAAATGAGAAGGATTTAAATTCTGTCAGCGTCGTACTCAGTGCAACTGACAGCAGGGAGATGCAACCATAAGCCACCAATTGAGGTATCTGCAGGGACATATCTAGTGTCATAATTTATAGCAGCCTAAAAGCTGCAACGGGAACCATCTGCTAACCACAGGTCAGAGCATTATGTTCTTAAGCATTTTTGACAATGACATGCCTTCTTCACATGCTACACAT